TGCTTTTACGACCACAAATACTGCTACTGCTTCTTAATAATAATTATAATCACTAATACTAACTAAAGTATTTCTACTGCTACTATTGTGAAAGTTAAATGCAATTTTAATCAACAGAAACATGAAAACTGCTTTGACGAAGCCACATTAAGCAATAACAACAACAACAGCTACAACAACAACAGCGACTACAACAACCACATTAACAGCAACAACAACATATATAGTTTTTCTGGCGACCCTAACGACGAACAACGCATTTACGATGAGGTCTCTACAGAAACATCACTGAACAACAACAACAACAACAACAACAACAACAACAACAACAACAATAACAATATTAATACAATTAGCAACAACAAAAGCTGCAACAGTTCCGAAAACGATCACTTATATAGCAACAATAATATTAAGTAAGAAATAATAATAATAATTATTATTATTATTATTAAGATAATAATAAAAATAATAACAAATTATTATTTTAATAATGATAATAGTAATAATAATAACAAATTATTATTCAGCTTACCAGATGACATTAGAAACAGCATAACGACTATCTTAAACAGAGACGAAGTTTGGAGGATGTTCGCGATCGAACTCGGGCTCGGAAGGTTAATAATAATAATGGGAACATTCTTTTATTTACCGAAAAACAAAATCCAAATGGAATCCATCGAAATTATTAATTATATATTAGAGTGTAAATAAATAAAATATAAAATGTAATGTACAATCCTCTCATGTTCTTTGATCAACAAGTGCTTGAGAGTAAAATAATAATAATAATAAATAATGATTATAATTATAATTATAATAAATAATATTTTCTATTATAACTTACAGGCATGTCCAGTATTTCTCCAACAAGACCTCGCCTGGCGAGCTCGTCTTAAATTTCTGGGAGACGAAAAATAGTGAGAGAATGACCGTTGCCTGGAGGGAGCTGGTCGACATTCTAAAGAGAATTTGTAATAATAATAATAATAATAATAATAATAATAATAATAATAATAACAACAATAATAATAATGATGGTGATGATGATGATGACGACAACTTTTGTCTTGAAGAGAGAGTTATTAGCGATATTGAGAGAGAGTTGAGGCTGTTGAGATTTTAACTTTATTTTCCCGTCTTCGGTTAGATGGAAGTTATTTATTATTGGTTCAGTCTCTGGTATATTAATTTTAATTTTAGTTTTAATTTTTTGCGAACGATAAGTTATATTCACCATATACGGTGGCCAGATGGTTAAGACGCCTGGTTCTGCCGTCGAAGTAGTCGACTTCGAATGCAAGGTCATCTCCCCCTATCATATTTAATGCGTGTGTGTGGATTCACGCATTTTCAAATGCTCTCTGGTAAATTAGAGAATTAATAAAATATGGAAGAGAAAAAGAGAAAGAGAGAGGGATAAAGAGAGAGAGAGAGAGAGAGAGAGAATGAGTGAGAAAGAGAGAGTCTCATTTTAGACCTAGAAACTTCTATTCATTAACTTTTCAAAATGTTAATTCGTGTTTTCGACCGTGCTATATTTGTTTGTATCGCAGTTTAGTTTATGGTATTCAAATTGTATTCGTGTGTATTTTATCCTGTATAAGATTTTTATCATTAATGTTTTACTTGCATATTATTCTGAAAGAAGTTGATCTTGTTATAGATTTAGATTTGTTTTTATTACAGCTTGACCATTCGTTTATCTTATTATTTATTCATTCATTAATTTATTCATTAATTCACTCACTCATTCATTCATTCACTCATTCATCTGTTTATCTATTTAATTTTAGTTTAACTTTGAAAATTTTAAACATGTTTAATAAAATGTTGAAAGAAATTGTAAATTTTTAAAAATGCTAAAAATTATCGAGGGATCAAGAGAGCCAATTAGTCACAAAAAGCTATTATTAACAAATGAAATAATTAAGACAAACTCAAAATGGAAAAAAGAAAAAGAAAGAGAAAGAAAGAGAAAGAAGAAGAAGAAGAGAGAGAGAGAGAGAGAGAGAGAGAGAGAGAAGCATTGAAAGAAAATGGAAAACAAGAAGAAAAGAGGAGAAAGAAGAAATAAAAAAAATGTAAACAAATGAAAAAAGCCGTGAAAGAAAGAGAAAAAGAGAGAGAGAGAGAGAGAGAGAGAGAGAGAGAGAGAGAATAATTTACTACTGACAAAAGAGTTTAACTGTTGTGCACGAGATTGATGAATGTATACACGCACACACACGCACATATACACACAAACACACCAATACATGTCTTGTATACAATACTACTTTGTGATGCTGAACTCGTTCAGAAGTAAAAACAAATAATAAACTTATGTTCACGCTGCTTATATAACTATATATCCACACACACACACACACACACACACACACACACACACACACACACACACACACACACACACATCTATATAACTTTTTTTCATTTTCTGTAATACAGTTAATCTTTCTATCACCTATCTTAATATTTCATCTTCTTTATCTCGTTCTCTCTCTCTCGTTCTCTCTCTCACTTTCCACAAAATCTCTACAACTTTTTCAATATCACTTTTTTCGCTTTTTTTTCTTTCTCTCTCTCTCTCTTTTCTCTCTCTCTCTCTCTCTCTCTCTCTTTCTCTCTCTTGCTTCTTGTGGTCAAACGTCAGAGGCGTTTTCTTGTGGGTCGATGAGCAAGTAGTCTTTAAGCCGCTACTTGAATTCACCCCGATCAACCCTGGTGTAACTCTCCAGTTTGATGGGCAGGTCATTCCATCATTTCAAATCTCTGCAGAAGGTACGAAGAGCCTTAACTTTCCAACATGAGCAGGGCGGAAGTAGAAGATCACCCTTGACGGAAGTCCTTAATCGAAGTCGACCAATCAGAAACGGCCTTCTAAATTTCTTTTGAATAAGTTGGCACACCACTTGTGAAACATTCTCCAACGATCAGACCTGAATCGAATTCTCTCTGACGAGCGAAGCCAGTGTTATTCATTTCTTCTCCTTCTTCTTTTCTTCTTTTTCTTCTTCTTTTTCTTCTTCTTCTTCTCCTCCTCCTTCTCCTTCTTCTTCCTCTTCTTCTTTTTCTTCATTTTATAATTATTATTACTACTATTATTATTATTAGCATTAAAATAATTATAATTATTATTTATTATTATGATCATTTTTATGACCGGACAATCCAATTTATCCTCCCAGCGATCCATCCGAAACGCCACGTTTCGACGGATTAATTCCGCATTAATAATGAATGAATGAATAAATAAATGAATGAATGAATAAATGACTGGCTAGTGTTGATAACGATCATTATCGCGATGATGATGACGATGATGATAACGATGACGATGAAGATGATGATGCAGCAACAACAACAACTACTACAATTATAATAATAATAATAACAACAACAATCTTACTAACAATACTACATCAAAAAGTATAAACTAGATAATATTAGATATGTATATATATATACAAGTATATATACAAACATGTATATATACAAACATGTGTATATATATATATAAAATCTTTATATGGCATAGTTTTTAAGCTTGCTTGGCAATAAGTATATCAAGCTTAGAGTTATGCTGTTTGGGAAGGGAAAATAAGATGATGATGACGACGACGATCATGAAGATGAAGGTGATGGTTTTGGGGGTGCTTATGGTGATAATGATGTTGCTATTGGAGATAATGATGATGATGATGATGATGATGATAATCTAGGTGATGTTGATGATGATGATGATTCATGAGTAAATTATTGGTGAAAAATATGTATGTTTTAAATGGTGAAAATAACGATGATGATGATTTATGGTTGTTGGCGATGGTGATTAAAAAATTGGTGTTAATATTGATGACGATGAAGACGACGACGACGATGATGATGATGATGGTGGTTTATTCCGTTAAATCATTCTTTTGTTGTGAGCTGAACTGAAACTATGTTGTGTAATTTGTATAGAAAGCGAATTTCAATAATAATAATAATAATTAAAAAAATATAATAATTGAAATGAATAATAATAATAATAAATAATAATATTTTTAAAGTTATTTATTTATTTATTTATTATTAATTTATTTTTCAGTTCAGTTTGAAATTTTCAGCTGCCTGAGGTCTATATTATTAACTTATACAGCTATAAATAATAGAGTCAGTTATAATATCAATAATGATGATGATAATAAACAATATTAAACAATTATAAATATTCTAATGATAATTATAATTATATCGTAAATTATAATAATAATTTTAATTATAATGTAAATCATGATAATAATTTTAATTATAATGTAAATTATAATAATAATTTTAATTATATTGTAAATTATGTTTGTACTTTACTGCATTTGTGTAGTTAATTGTTTTTTGTTCTCATTCAAAGGATTATAAAGCCAACCTTATAATTTGGATATAGGAGGATTTGTAACAAAGCAACAACTGCAACAACCGCAACAACTGCAACATCAACAACAACAACATCAATAGCAACAAAATCAACAACAACTGCAACAACAACAACAACAACAAAAACAACAACATCAACATCAACAACATCAATAGCAACAACAGCAACAATAACAACAACAACAATAACAACAACAACAACATCAATATCAACAACATCAACATCAACAAAAACAACAACATCAACAAGAACAACATTAATAACATTCCTAGCAAAAAAACAACAACTGGAAAAACCTTGAATACAGCTTTATAACTAAGCAATAAAATTCTTTGCACGCTTGTTCTACTACTACTACTACTACTACTACTACTACTACTACTACTACTACTACTACTACTACTACTACTACTACTACTACTACTACTACTACTACTACTACTACTACTACTACTACTAAGAACTACTACTACTACTACTACTACTACTACTACTACTACTAAGACAATATCAAAAACAACAACAACAACAAAATTCCAAAAACCGCGACAACAACCCCAACAACAACAACAACAACAAAATGACGTCTGGCGGAAGATTTGATTTTGACGACGGAGGGACCTACTGCGGGGGCTGGGAAGAGGGAAAAGCCCACGGCTACGGCGTTTGCACGGGGCCCAAAGGTCAAGGTGAATTTTCAGGGTCGTACCACTGTGGCTTTGAAGTCTGCGGTGTCTACAAGTGGACGACGGGCAGTAGTTATAAGGTGATTTTTGGTGTTGTACTTGTAACTGTTACTGCCTCTTCTTCTGTAACATTATCAGCACCACCACCATCATTTTCACCATCAGGGCCAATGGACGCAAGGAAAACGTCATGGTCTGGGGGTGGAGAACAAGGGTAGGTGGGTCTATCAGGGGGAATGGACACAAGGTTATTATTATATTATTATTATTATTATATTATATCATTATATTATATTATTATTATTAATATATTATTATTATCATTTATTATTATTATTATCATCATCACTATCATCACCGTCATCGTCATGATCATTACCAGGATTTAAAGGTAGGTATGGAATTAGGATTAGCACGACGACGGGGGCGAAATACGAGGGCTCATGGACCACGGGGCTGCAAGATGGGTATGGGGTCGAGACCTACGCTGACGGAGGTAAGGATGACGATGATGATGATGGTGGTGGGGGTGGTGGTGGTGGTGGTGGTAGTGGTGGTGGTGGTGGTGGTTATGATTTAGGTCGTGACAATGTAACGATGATGATGATGTTGTGAGGCAATAAAAACATATTAACTACATCATGTAACTAGCAAACAACATCTGTCGCTATTATTATTATTATTATTATTATTAATATTGTTGTTGTTGTTGTTGTTGTTGTTGTTGTTGTTGTTGTTGTAGTTGTTGTTGTGTTGTCTCCATTACACACACACACACATACACGCACGCACACACGTACAATACACACACACACATACACACACACGCACACTACACACACATACACACACGCGAACATACGTAATCACAGAAAACAACAGACAAAACTAACAAGAAAGTAGCAGACGTAAAAATTTCTACCGTGCTGTTATATATAACGCCTATATAATGCATAACCTAAGACATTGGGAATAACGCGGGAATAAGAACTGAATTTTGGATTAGGAACTCGGAATATACTTTATATAACATTGCACACACACACACCACACCACAACACACACACAAAAACAATCATACACAAACACATACACACACACACACAAACACACACACACACACACAAACAAACATTAACACATACACACAAATACACCTGATCCATCTGCATGCCTACTTCATGCTTACTAACAACCAAACTCCATACACACACACATACAACCAAGTAAGCACACAAACACAATCTCCACACACACTCATATACACTCACCAACAGGCAAATGTTGTACAATTAACAACGTACACACACACACACACGCATGCATGCATGCATACACTTTTGTACAACTACCAACCACCTCTGTGTATATAGCCAACGTGAAGCAGGTTTTGCTTTGACCGTCAAGTGAGCAACCTTGATGATGATGATGATGATGATGATGATGGTGATGATGACGACGACGACGATGAAGATGAATGAAGGCAACGATAACTAAGATGAAAATGAAAATGACGATGGTGATGAAGATGATGATGACGATGATGATGAAGATGATGATGAAGATGACGATGGTGATGAAGATGATGATGAAGATGACGATGGTGATGATGATGAAGATGATGATGACGATGGTGATGAAGATGATGATGAAGATGACGATGGTGATGATGATGAAGATGATGATGACGATGGTGATGAAGATGATGATGAAGATGACGATGATGATGAAGATGATGATGAAGATGACGATGGTGATGAAGATGATGATGAAGATGACGATGGTGATGATGATGAAGATGATGATGACGATGGTGATGAAGATGATGATGAAGATGACGATGGTGATGATGATGAAGATGATGATGACGATGGTGATGAAGATGATGATGAAGATGACGATGGTGATGATGATGAAGATGATGATGACGATGGTGATGAAGATGATGATGAAGATGACGATGGTGATGATGATGAAGATGATGATGACGATGATGATGAAGATGATGATGAAGATGACGATGGTGATGACGACGACGATGATGGCGGAAAGTAATGTTGATGTTGTATAAGTCAATTTATTCGCCAGGAAGACGGCTAGAACAACGTCGAGCGAGACAACAAATCAACGTGATACAAGATAGTTATATTTGTGTTCGTTCGTTCGTTCGTTCGTTCGTTTGTATATTTGTTTACCTGTATGTGTGTGTTTGTGTTTGTTTTTGTATGGATGTTTTTTTTCATTTTGCAGAATCGCGTTTGTATGTTTGTTTGTGAATTGTGAATTTTTGTATGTTTATGTGTGTCTTTGTATGTTTTTGATTGCCTAGTTTGTGCTACTGAACCTTTGTATATTTGTTTTTTTTATGTCCAAAAAATCCTAATTTACCACATGTAAATGTGCAAGCATACAATTTATGTATCAAACAACGAATGGTCTCTAACGATATTTTGTTTAATATTGTGATAAAAAAATGTGCGTATGTATGCTTTGGATGTATGTATGCAAGTATGTATGTATGTATGTACGTTTGTGTGTGTGTCTGTATGTACGTCTGTATGTAGATGTGTGTGTGTATGTGTGTGTGTACAAAAAATGTTGTACACGCACTGAAGCAGTTTTGTATGAGCTGGATGTTGCCACATATAAATAAATCGCAAAATTCCTCGGCGCCGTATTGTATTTCCATGCTGTTTTTTCTTGTATTAGTTCGTATTGCTGAGTAATTCATTCGGTATTTGTGGTATTTTTAGGTATTTTCGGCTAATTTTTACTTCTTGCACGCATGTACGTACGTATCAGTGTGTGTATGTTTGTTTGTATGTACAACATGTATGTACATGTACATTCATATTTGTATGTTTGTTTGTATGTATGTATGTATGTATGTATGTATGTATGTATGTATGTATGTATGTATGTATGTATGTATGTTTGTATGTATGTATGTATGTAGGTATGTATGTACGTACGTACGTACGTTCGTACGTACGTACGTATGTATGTATGTATGTATTTATTAAGAAACATTTATTAAGAAACATTTATTAAACGCTAATTAAACAATTTCATAAGCGTTCTCTTAAAAACAAAATGTTATATGTGACTGTTCATGAAACGAAAATCAAAGTAACAAATTTTACAATTTCACAGAAAATAAAAATGTCTTTAGTTCTTTTTTAAATAAATCCAGAGAAGTTCCCGATCTTCTTAACATAGGTGGAAGGTTATTCCAAACAGAGGGACCAGCCACGGCAATGTCCCTAGAACCAATTTGCAAACGCGTGACTGGCACCCTTAGCAGATTCAAATCATCCGACCTGAGATAGGAAGATGATGCTGTTTATTTTCTGGTAAATTTATTTTTCATGTATTCAGGTGACATGTCATTTATAGACTTGAACATGAGAACTGCAATTTTAAAGACTATCCTTTTGTTAATTGTCAACCAGTGTAGTTCATTCAAAATCGGTGTCACGTGATCATACTTCAAACCACCAGCAATGAGTTTTGCAGCTCTGTTCTGCACCGACTGAAAGACGGCAACTGATGATTCCGGCAATTTGTAGAACAAACTGTTGCAGTAGTCCAAACGAGATGTGATGAAGGCGTGGACCAACGTTTCCAAAGTAGGTCTATCCAACGAATGTCGAATTTTATACATGCTTCTAAGGTGGATAAGACTTGATGTACAGATCTTTTTGATGTGATTTTTCATTGATAACTTGTTGTCAAGCAAAACACCCAGGTTGGAAGCAGTATCAGCTAATGGTATATCAACATCTCCTATTTTAACAGAACTAAAATCAATTTTCAGCAATTGCTGCCACGTTCCAACCGGAAGTAATTGAGTTTTGCATTCGTTTAGTTTTAACGAGTTTGATGACATCCAACGTCCTACCTCTGATAAACATCTGATAAATCTCTCAACTTCAGTTTTAAACAAACAAGGAGAACTAGTAACCAGCACCTGAATATCATCTGCAAATGCATGGCAGACATATCCGTAGGAGCTGATTATTTTGGTAATTTCCGACGTGTACAGGAGAAAAAAAACGGGTCCCAAAACTGAGCCTTGAGGTACCCCTGACGTTATGATGGAAACCTCTGATACTGAGTCATTAAATGAAACCTGTTGTGTCCGATTTGATAAATATGATTCAAACCATCTGTATACATTATTCGTTACTCCGTAATTTTGACGCAGTTTTGCCAGAAGAACATCATGGTTGACGCAGTCAAACGCTGCCGACATATCCAAAAACGATAGTAATGATATTCTCTGAGCATTTGCAGCGGCAAATAAACTTGATAGGACATTCAATAATGCAGTTTCAGTTGAATGAAACTTCCTATATCCTGATTGATTGAGAGGCATTAAATTGTTTTCTGTTAGATGATTCAACAAAAACTTGAGAACAACGCGCTCCATGATCTTTGATCTTTTGGATATCGGCCTGTAGCTTGCAACATCGTTGACATCACCATTGGCTTTTTTTTTTAAATCGGGACAACCGTAGCATGTTTGAACCCAGCAGGAAATTTACCCAACCTCAGGCAGAGATTGAAAAAACTTTTAAGAAAGCAGATAAACAAGTGTATATATTTCTTAAAAATATGCGTCGGAAAAATATCTTGTGAACTTGTTTTTGAAGGAGAATTCATTATGATACCTTTAAGTTCGGTTTCTGTTATTTCTGGAAAATTTGCCAATGAAACAAGATTTGTAACATGACTGTGATGTGCTGACGGAACCAAAACGTTGGTAGACATTATAATCTTGTTGATCTTGTCTGTGGAGAACTGCATGAATTGAGAAGCTTTTAGGTTGATATTATCATCGGATTTATTACTTTGTTTATTTCTACACAAAACCCTGTTCACAATCTGCCAGCGATTTTTGGAGTTGTTGTTAGCTTTGACCAAATTTTTCCAGTAACTTGAACGTTTTTTAGAATAAAGTTTATTTCTTTCTGATAAAGAAACCAACCAGTCATTTCGATGATCAGTCGTCGAGTGATTTCTATATGACATCTCCCTCCGCCTGCAAGTTAGTTTAGCCCGTCGACAATCATCATCAAACCAAGGTGCCATACTCTCTCCTCTGTCATAAATCAAACGCCAAGGCACAAGTCTGTCGACAATTTTTTTTAACTCGTCGTTAAACATTTTTAATTCAATCTCGACATCGTTACTCTGACAAAGCCCAGAGACTGGAGAATCCAAAACAGCCCTAGCCAGTTGATTTCCGTCCAGACTTTTCCATGACCTGACATGTCTCGCAGTTATTTTACAAAATGTCTGAATCAATGTTTCAACTGTTATTAAACTGTGGTCAGACATCACTCCGCTTGGAAATATTTTTATGTTGGTAACAGGAAAGTCACAAGAACTGATTACCAAATCCAAAGTACCACCCAACACATGTGTTGGTTCGTTAATGTGGTTGACTAACTGGAAGGTTTCAAATACTTCACCCAATCGGATGGAATATGGATCATCAGTTCTTTCGAGATGTACATTAAAATCTCCCATGAGCAAAACGTTAGAACGAAATGTATGTATGTATGTATATATGTTTGCTTTTGCTTTTGTGCAGTGCGAAACGATTTTGTTTACTTATTTGTAATTCTGTATGCCTTCCTAATGGTTTTTGGTTTCGTTGTTTGTTTGTTTGTATGAATATTTGTATGTATGTCTGTAGATTTGTTTGTATGTTTGTATGTATGTTTGTACGCATATTATTGTCTTTGCGTCGTTTTTGTTGTTTCTAGTTTTCAAAATTTTTTTTGTGGAATGTTTTTGATCTTGCCATTGTTCTTGCATCTGAAAACATCTATTCATCCATCCGTCCATCCATCCACCCATCCATCCATCAATCTATCCATCCATCCATCCATCCGTCCATCCATCCACCCATCCATCCATCCATCCGTCCATCCATCCACCCATCCATCCATCAATCTATCCATCCATCCATCCATCCGTCCATCCATCCACCCATCCATCCATCCATCCATTCATCCATTCATTCATCCATCCATCCATTCATTCATCCATCCATCCATCCTTACATCTTAAATTTATTTTGTTTTACTTGTTTCTTGAATACAATTTTACATTATGTAACCTTTTGAAAGATTTTATAAAATTTTATTCATTCGTTCATTCATTCTTTCATTCATGTATCCATCCTTTCTTTCATTTCTTTGTTCATTTGTTCATTCTTGCTTTCATGCTTCTGTTTATTATAACAGCTTAATTTAATCTTATTTATAGATAGCGAGTTCAGTCATTCATTCATTTTTTCATTCACTGTTTATTCATCTGTTCATTCATTTGTTCATTCATTTGTTCATTTATTTATTCATTCATTCATTTTGTTCATTCATTTGTTCATTCATTTATTCATTCATTCACTTTGTTCATTCATTTGTTCATTCATTTATTCATTCATTCACTTTGTTCATTCATTTGTTCATTCATTTATTCATTCATTCACTTTGTTCATTCATTTGTTCATTCATTTATTCATTCATTCACTTTGTTCATTCATTTGTTCATTCATTTATTCATTCATTCACTTTGTTCATTCATTTGTTCATTCATTTATTCATTCATTCACTTTGTTCATTCATTTGTTCATTCATTTATTCATTCATTCACTTTGTTCATTCATTTGTTCATTCATTTGTTCATTCATTAATTCAATCGTTCGTTTTTTTGTCTGTTCATTGACTCATCAATTCAGATGTTATCTTGAATGTTTTTCTTGCATTAAAATGAAGATCTCGTAATTTAACATAATTCCCTAATTAAACATTCATCCATTTATCTACCATTCGTTTCATTCATCCTTACATTCATATTTTTATCCATCAATACATCCATCCATCATTCCATCGACCCATCCATCTATCATTATTAATTTATTGAAACGTTCTATCTTTTTAATTAAACATTTTTCATCAATATCCAGCCGATATGGAGTTAAGTGTAACATTTTTTCACTCACACCTTCCTTCCTTCCTTCATTCATTCATTCATTCATCCATCCATTTATTCATTCATCTTTTTATTCATTCGGTCATTCATTCATTCATTCATTCATTCATTCATTCATTCATTCATTCATTCATTCATTCATTCATCGAGAACAAGTTTATGGGATGAATTCGATAGTGTATACATATTTTTATGAATGATTTACGCTTAATCTGTTTATTTAATAATAATATTTTGTCTGGTAATGAGCTTAGAACATTTGCCATCATTCATTCATTTGTTCACTCACTCATTAATTCATTCATTCATTCACTCATTTGTGTACTCAATTATTTTTCATTCATTCATCAATTTGTTCGTTCATTCATTCACTCATTTATTCATTCATTCATCAATTTGTTCGTTCGTTCTTTTCATTCTTTCGTTAATTCAATTGCTTCATACTCGTTCATTCACTCACTCCATCATTCATTCATTCATACATTTTTACATTCGTCCAATTCATTCATACACTAATTCATCCATTCATACACTAATTCATCCATTCATTTATGCATTCAATCCATTCACTCACTCACTTCCTAGAAAGCCACACTCATAACCATAAAGCAAGCTTGTACACTGAATGTTAAGTAGCAGGATAAAAAATTCTTAACGTTATTATTTATCATTATTATTATTTATTTAATAATAATAATTATTATTATTATTAATATAATAATAATAATTATTATTATTATTACTATTATTATTGTTGCTGTTGTTGTTCCATGTGGATGAAGAGAAATAATCCATATTGTATTTTCGTCCGCAATTAAGTTCGAAATTTCACTTATTATTATTGCTATTATTTTTAATTTTGGCACTATTACAAGTATCAAGTATTAGTAGTAGTATTAGTAGTAGCAGTAGTAGTAGTAGTAGTAGTAGTAGTAGTAATAGTAGTAGTAATAGTAGTAGTAGCGGTGGTAGTAAAAGTAGAAGCAGTGGTAGTTAGTAGAAAAAGTAGTAGTATTATTTTATCCATCATAATCACATCATGTCATCACTTGACAACTCATTCATCCAATCGTTCACTCATTAATTCTTCCTTCCATTCTTTCTTTCTTTTTTTCTTTTTTTTTCACTTCCAACGCAACGTCACCACCACCTCGTCACCCCCATCTCACCCACCCGCAGGCACCTACCAGGGCCAGTGGCTCCGCGGCATCAGGCACGGCTACGGTGTTCGACAAAGCGTTCCATACGGCCTGGCTACCCTCAGCCGACAAAAAATCGGTCGCGATTCTCTGACGTCACTGAGAAGCGAGTCCGAAGATGACGTCATCGTAAAAGAAAGAGATCGCAAGATGGCGGAAGTGAGGGGTGGGTTTGTTCTGACGGCCACAAGATCCACTTCGGAGACCCGACATTTAGCCCGCAAGTTTCCCTGGTTCAAAGGAAAGTACGAGAAACGAGCCAACAGTGCCGAGCCAACGAGTCCGACAAAAGCTAGCGGACCAAAAGCCAGCATACGAAGAGCTTTCGACGGATTGAAGCTACGCAAACAGCGCAGCGAAGAGTTGAATCTCAACGGTTTCAACACCAGTCCAACTTCCACAAGTCCAACGGCGGCTGATCGTCGCTACACCAGTAGCACGGGCTCCGGGCGCAGCTGGCGACGTAGAAAGCACGACGACGACGCCACGATCAAAAGCAACGCAAGCAGCTGCGCCTCGTCATCGCTTCGGTACTCGCCAATCAGTGCGGCTGCTTCTGAGAGCTGCGCCAGTTTTGCTCAAGACGAGACGACGGACCTGAACGCTGTGGAGACGTACGCTGGCGAGTGGAAGAATGACAAGCGGTCGGGTTTCGGCGTGAGCGAGCGGACTGACGGCTTGAAGTACGAAGGTGAGTGGGAGAACAACAAACGGAATGGTTACGGTGCTACAACATTTCCAGACGGCACGACCGAAGAGGGGAGGTACAAGGTGGACGTGTTGGTCAGTTGGGGCAAGAAGAACAAGTTGATGATGTTGCGGGCAGGCAAGATGAGGGAGCAGGTGGACAATGCCATCTCTGCAGCTAAGAGGGCTTCACACATTGCCATTCAAAAATCTGCCATTGCTGTTTCGAGGTTGGATTTTTTTTTAAATATTTATAATAAAATTTTAATTAGTATTTTTGTTTAAAAAAAAAATTGAAAAATCAACTGAAAATGAAATATATATTTCACGAAAAAACACGTTTCACAAAATGAAATAATTGAAGAATGAACATGGCTCAAGCGAAGGCTGAAGCCGCCATGCAAACGGCTTCCAAAGCCATTGCCGACGCTGAAAAAGCAAAAGGTAAAGCCATGGAACTTGCACCTGAATTTATGGCTGGTTGGTAAACATTTTTCAGCTCTATTTCCAAAAATTATAAACTTTTCAATTCATTCTACTTTGTCAACAATTGGTTACGATCATTGATTTAACATTTAAAAAACAGACCTTAGTTTTATATGACGAATAAGTTGTTCACAATATTTTAATTTTTCTTTCCAACCATCTACCGGCAAAATGATATGAAACAGAAATAACTAAAAAAGACAACGCAGCCCTGGCGGCATCAGCCTCCTCATCGGGCCTGCCACACCACCTGCCTGCCCACCTCATCGGCAAGTCGAACTTCCACAGTTACGACACCAACCAGGGCCCTCATGACGTTCAGAGTTCATTCGTCTCCCAGTTCACTGACCACTACAACCCGCAACATCAAGTCAGCCAAGCTAAACACTTTATGAGTAGAATCACTAAAAATGTTAGCGAAGCCGTCGAATCCAGTAGAGCCGGACACGACGACTCTGCGAAATCGCCACTCCCAACAATCGGCAATGTTCTTCTATCGGTCGGCTTAGACACGTCGCTGTATAAAAGTCTAGCCACCAAGCCACGACCAGCAAACGAGATGAACGCAACATTACCGGTGACTCAGCAACAAATTTTGCAGATGCAGCAACAGCAGCAGCTGCAACAACAGCAGCTTCAGCAGCTTCAACAACAATCCTTGCAAAAACAACCACCTCAACAACTTTTACAACATCAGCAACAGTTTTCCGAACGATTTCTGCAAAGTAACAATCCGCAGCAGAAGCAGCAGCAGCAGACGGTGACTACAAAACAAAAGGAGTTGGTGAAAAAAAATTTAGAAATGAAACAAAATCAGAGCCCGACAAACAATTTGACAAATGACAACAGTTCAACAAATGTTGCGAGAATTTTAATCGACAAGAACAAACGATTGGCCGAGTTGTTAGACCAATCAGTGCTAGATGACCATTTCGACCAGTACCAGACATGGGACGAATCATCGTCGTCGTCATCAACAAGTAACATCAACAAAAAACCATCAACAAACCCTCAACAACAACAGCAACAGCAACAGCAGCAACAATTTGATGTTGCAACAACAACAAACCCAACGTACTCGAGCTACAACAGCACAAGCAGCAACAACCCACGCAACATGTCTCAACAGAAGCAACAACAACAACAGCAACATTCATACGTGGTGAACCCGACATTTAGTTACGACCGAACACGGCAACATTATCAACAACAACTTCAACAACACCAGCCACAACAACCTAACATCGGCTTCATCGACTACAACAACAGCGAAAACATCAACTTCAGCGACTACAGCGACGACTACCAGAGCCCTGTCATCGATCCCATCCCAGCTATCAACTTTGAACGCCGACAAACTCTACCAGCCGGCCAACTTCGACAACAAACAACAAAAACCTCATCGACTGCAACAAAATCACCACTCCAAAACCAGCCCAAAACATCTCGACAACAACTACCCACACTATCAAACCCAACGAACGCAACGACATCTCAGCTTAAATCGGCAAAAAACGCTCTGGGAAGTACACCAAACGTTTCGAAAAGGGTTAAAAATTCAGGAGGTAGTACCACACCCCCCGCTATACCCCGTGAAGAAGTTCACTTCATGAGCGTTCGTAGGCGAGAAGAATTGAGGTTGATGAGAGAGGAGGAAGAGAGAAGGAGGCAGCAAGAGTTGGTCCTTAGTTTCGCCGAAATCAAAGTACTTTTTTAAACTTTTGTTTGTATGTATGTGTGTGTGTGTATGTGTGTGTGTCTGTCTGTGTGTGTGTGTGTATGCGTGTGTATTTTCGCGTACGTGATTGTATGTTTGTCCGTACAGGACAGGCATTCATTCATTCATTTATTTTTTTTCATTCATACATTCATTTATTGTATAAACAACTAATTCATCAATTCATCCATTCATTCGTTCGTTCATCTATCCATCCATCCATCCATCCATACACAGAACTGGTGCCAGCAGAGACAGTTTGTGGTTTTTGTCATAGCTCTCAACCTAGGCCTCCTGGTAATGTTCTATAACATGCTCTCTAGGTGATCTCCAAGATGGTGATGACGATGATGATGAAGATGACGACGATGATGACAAGGATGATGTTGATGAGGATGATGAAGATGAATCAGGAAGCTAGGAAGCTAACTATAACGCGGAACATGCTGTGATTTTCATCAATAATTGAATATATATATATATATATATATATATATTTATTAATAATAATATTACAAAGGTATTATCACAATTTATATATATATGTAACAAAATATCTTAATTATCAATATTAACGTTATTGTTAGTGTTGTCACTGTTATTATTATTATTATTATTATTATTATTATTATTATTATTATTATAGTTATTATTATTATTATTATTATTATTATAGTTATTATTATCGTTAGTCTATTTCTTTATTTTTTGTTCAACATATAACCGTGTAAATATTGTAAGCTCATAGGTCATTTGCGCTAAACAAAAAGATATATATACAAAGAGAAATATACATAAATATATATATATAATTATATATATAATTATTTTTATAATTATATATATATAACTATATATATAATTATATATAATTATATATATAATTATATTTATATAATTTTATTTTTCCAGATCTTTCAGTTGATTCTTTGCTTGCACCCCTTTTTTTTCATGTATCACTTTTTACGACTTGGTTAACCGACGATTATAGTGATGATGATGATGATGATGATGATGATGATGTTGATGATGATGTTGATGATGATAGCTACGAAATGATATTAATTTATTTACTCGACTTTCTTTCTTTTGTACGTTTATATAGTACATTTTTTTAAAGTCATCAGAGCTTAATCACCGTCACTCATTGACTCTTACTATTACAATCATTGCCCTTGTCATCATCTTCGTCATCATCATCATCATCTTCGTCATCATCATCGTCGTCATTCATACTTTCTCTTTGATTTTAATTTTGTTTCTAGCGTGTATATTATGTATTTAACAAAAAAAGTTCATA